GATATTTAAGGTACAAAAGAGCACATGCTACTAAATTTAAAGGTGTGGGCTAGGTGCGAAAGTTAGCTCCAGAAATAGACACAGGAAGTAGAAAAGAAAAACAAAACCAAGAACTAAACCTTTTAGAAAAGTCACCAATCAGAGCATCGTCCCCTTGAAAAGTCTCTGTAATAGTTTAAGTTCTCTCAGACTTTTTTTAAATTAATTTTAATAAACATTTACAGAGATTTTGGATTTCCATTCATTCATTGCCGCACTTTTCTCCCTGCCCAGCCCTCCCCACCAGTTCGCTCCCCTCTCCGAAAAGAAAAAGAAAAAAAAATTCATTCATTGGTGTACAATTCCTCTCAGATTTTTAAGAACAAACTGATCCCAAATGATATTAAATGCTCCAAACACAAACCCTGACCCGCTACTGTCTATCCTGATCACAGTGACCCCTCAGGGTAGGGGTGAACTGCCCCACGGGACTTCCCTGGTTGTAAATCTTACAGAAGCGGACTGCTACTGTCACAGCTTTCTCCCGAGGAGCTGAGAAGTTTGAATGCTAATTATCTTCTAGTTAGCAGCCCAGTGCTTTAAACACTGCACGAGAACACACAAAATCATGGAAAGTTACTATATTAACGGTATGAAGCTGTTTAACCAAAAATCATATGAAGTTGTTTAATCAAAACATGACAAGGCCATTGCTGACTCCAGAGAAAGCAAACAGAAAGATGGGAAAACTTTAAATATAAAACTATGGGGCGAAATTCAACATCACCAAAACCAATTTATTATTGGTCAATGTATGAATATAGTACAAATAAGTAAAACCAAAGCAAATATCTAAATGAATGCTCAAAAACGTCAAAGAAATTTCTTATCTGTTCCTCTTAAAAACATTAAAGGCCACAAAGCAAAGAGTAAGTACACTTATATATATGGTTAAAGATGTTTATCCTCAACCAATACCCAAACAAAATGGGTAGGAGGAAAGGATACACAGTAAAGGAAGAATAAAGTACCAGACATCACCTGAGAGCTGGCAAATGCAGGCGCCACAGAGCGAGACCCAGAGCAGGTGTATCGACACAAAAGAAAAGTTCCAATGGAGAATAGTAGAAAAACCCCATGTTATCAACAACAACAATCACACAGCACAAAAAAGATTAAAGCAGACAAAACAAAATGCCAAAGGCCCAGAACCAAACCTAACTCAGAATGTCAGGAACTCAAGGTGAAGGAGATGACTCCATTTTACTGAGTGATAAAACCTTTGTTAAGAAGGACTACCTTCTTTTAAGGTGTGATAACAGGGAAGAGGAGAAACCCATTGTAAAGGACTTTGGAGTTATCAGTCACAGCTTATCCACAGAGGTCCTAGGCGTGGCCCATCAAGCCAGACTGGCTATGAAGACAGGAAAATGGTCTGGGGCCTTTAGATGTGGAGATGAATGCACACCAGCCGGCACCGAAAACCTTCCATAGGGAACTGTCGAGAAAGAACAGGTACAACCAAAAGGCCCTGTGGCTCACAGTGGCTCACAGAGGTGTGTGTATGTAAGGACACATCCGCTGTTGCCCAAGGCTCCCGCTGACAGCAGCCCCGAGAGCGTGGGAGGACTACGGTGCTCCACAGGGTGGTGGCTGAGTTCTCCCAGGACCCCTGTGGGTGGGCTCTCAGCAGCTGAGTGCATTAACTGCGCGGACAATGACCAAGGAGGATAGAAGGAGAACTGATGCCTTTGAGCTGTGGTGCTGGAGAAGAGTATTGAGAATACCATGGACTGCTAGGAAAACAAACAGATTCATCCTGGAAAGGGTTAAACTGGGTGGGTCCTTGGAGGCAAGGGTTCTAAGGCTCTGTCTAACATACTTTGGACATGTTGTGAGGAGAGACAGGTCCTTGGAGAAGGACATCATGCTTGGGAGGGTGGAGGGACGGTGCAGGAGGGGAAGACCCTCTATGAGGTGGACTGATCAAGTGACTGGGATAATCGGGATGGGAGTGTCAGAGACAGTGCGAGTGGCACAGGACAGAGCGGAGTTTAGGGCTGTTGTACATAGGATCGCTATGAGTCGCAGGTGACTCGACGGCACATAACAACAAACAACAACCATCCAAAGACCCACTTAAAGATGCAGATGTGCATGTGAATAGACCGAAATAACTTCCCCGAGTGAGCAGGGAAACATACTGCACTGGGAGAGTCTGCAGTCAAGGACCTCTCCAAATTCATGAGGAGCAACGATGTCAGTTGGAGGACTAAGGTGCGCCCTGGTCTTTTCAATCACTTGCTCTGCATCTGAGAGTTGGACAATGAGCACAAACGAGAGGAAATGAATTGGGAACTTTTGCACCTTTGAACTGCGGTGTTGCAGAAGAGTGCTGAACACCACATGGACAGCCAGAAATCAAACAGATAAGCCTCAGAGAACATGCAGCTGGAATGCCCCCTGGAGATAAGGATGACCAAGTTCCATCTCACTTATTTTGGGAATGTTGCTGGGAGAGGCTATTCCTTGGAGAGGGACATCGTCCTTGGGAAGGTGGATGGTCAGCAGAAAAAGAGGAAGACCCTCAACCAGCTGGGCTGACACAGTGACTACAGCAATGGGCTCTACTCTGTCAGATTTTGAGGATAACACAGGACGGGACAGGGTTCAGATCTGTCATTCACAGGGTCGCTGTGAGTCATACGAGTCCTGACGGCGCCTAATGACACAATGAGTGAAGGGAACTCCGTGGCATCATCCCTAGGGAGCTGACTTACTAACCCAAAGGCTACACCTCTGGGGGTTCGAATCCATCAGTGACTTCACTGGAGAAAAACGAGTTAGTCTCTCTCCTGTGTGGTTTACCGCCTTAGAAACTCACCGTGGGCTCGGCCAAGAGTCAGCTCTGACACCAAGGCAAGGAGTGAGCTGAAGCTGACAGCTGGTTATCTGAGCACTGACATCATGTGCCATTTTATCTTTTTGTCCTTACAAATGTTACCCATTTAGAACTTTTTCAGAAAGCATTATAACATTTAAAACTGTGGGTGGAACTATGAGATATCATCTCACCCCAGTCAGAATAGCAAAATTTAACAGAACAGCAAACAACAATTGCTGGCGAAGTTGGGGAGAAACTGGAACCCTTATTCACTGTTGGTGGGAGGGTAAAATAGTGTAACCACTGTGGAAGGCGGTGTGGCACGTTCTTAAACAGTTGCAAATAGAGATACCATTTAACCCAGCAATTTCACTACTGGGAATTTACCCTAAAGAGACCATAACAGACATCCAAGAAGGTATATGCACAACCATGTTTACTGAGGTTTTGTTCACAATAGCAAGGAGTTGGAAACAACCCAAGTGCCCATCAACAAACAAATGGACAGAGAAGCTGTGGTATATCCACACAATGGAATACTACACAGCATTGAAAACCAAGGAACTCATGCAATATTATTCAATGTGGGTAACCCTGGAGGACATTATGCTGAGTGAAGTATCTCAGTCACAAAAGGACAAATACTGCATGGTGCCACTGCTGTAAAACAGGACTGACCTTGGGGTTGGGGAGAGACTGAGGAAGATGGGTTCAGTAATGTATACTGCACTGAAACAGATGAGGGAGAGAACAGTTTAAAAGCAATATATAATAGGGTATTATGGTTATCATAAGAGTTCAGAATTAAGGTTGCATAGTGGAGTATACTCAGGGGCAGGGGAGGGGATTCTATACCAATGAAGGAATTTTTCTTTTACTTTTCAAAGAGAGGATCGAACTGAGGAGGTGGGGTGGGCAGGGAAAAAAGTGCAACAATGAGTGGATGGAAATCCAAAATTTCTGTAAATGTTCATTAAAATTAATTAAAAAAATTATTAAGAAAAAAAACTGTGGGTGGGCTTACTAAAAAGAGGGAGAAGGTAAACACCAAAATATTAATGTTTTTGTTTCAAGGTTTTTTTTTCTGCTTCAGCACACGCTTCTGTATTTTCCAAATTTTCTCCCATCATCGTGAAAAAATAGATTTGTGCTCAACTGGCAATAACTGTTCTCAGCTTCTAATCACAGTTTTATTTTCAGCATTAAAATCACAATTTACCAGGAACCATCCTGATCTGACACAAGAGGATGAGAAGACTGGAACTGCTCTCACACACGGCAAACCAGGAGGGGAGGGTCCCCAGCATCTTACCGTAAAGCTGTTGTTCACGTTTTTGGTGCTGGACTCGGCCACGCTTGCGTCTGTCAGATCAACTTCATCAAAAATGATGGACTGGAGAGAGACACAGACACAGACACAAGAGAGGAGTGAGGTCAGGACTCAGGCATCCTCAGGCCATGTCCCTTCCTGGGCAGGCTGCCTACCACTGCCCATCAAGTCCCTGCACATTTCATTAGGACACAGAAGCTGGCTTAGGCAGCCCTGTCTTCTCACGGAGCACAGGTGCACCAACAGCTAGCTTGCAGAAATAGATTCGTGTGCTTTTTTCAATCCAAGAGTCATGAGCTATTGTCTTGCTTGAGCAAAAATTTAAAAACCACAGCACTGCCTGCCACCCAGGGACAAAGGCTCAGAACACAGGAAAGGATGGGATCGAAGGATTAATGGAAACAAGAATCACAGGGCAGAAGTGGGAAGAGTATATAGTCACATTGTGGGTACTGTGATTAATGTCATAAAACAAAAAGTGCATGAGGGAGCTCTGGTGGCCTAGTGGCAAGAAGCTGCCCTGCAATCCCAGAGGTATGCGGTTCAAATCCACCAGATGCTCTGCTGGAGAAGGAGGGGCAATCTCCTTCTGTACCAATCAGATCCGATTTGATGGTACACACAAAAAATAATAAACTCTTTTTAAAAAAAAAAAAAGTGTATGGCTTTGTTTACAATAGCAAAGAGTTGGAAGCAGCCTAAGGGCCCATCAACAAACGAATGGATAGAGAAGCTGTGGTATATCCACACAATGGAATACTACACAGCATTGAAAAACAAGGAACTCATGCAATATTATTCAAAGTGGGTGACCCTGGAGGACATTATGCTGAGTGAAATATCTCAGTCACAAAGGGACAAATACTGCATGATGCCACTGTTGTAGAATAGGTCTGACATCAGGGTGGGGGTATGACAGAAAAAACTGGATAAATTTTGTATATTGTATTGAAACAGATAAGGGAAAGAACAGATTAGAAGTGATATATGATTATTATGGTTAGCACAGGAATCCAGAATTAAGGTTGCATAGAGAAGTGTACTCAGGGTGGGGGGGGGGGGGGAAGGGACGTGGGAATTGTATACTAATGAAGGAATTTTTTTCTTTTTTTCTTTTTTCTCTCTTCGGAGGGGGAAGCGAGCTGGTGGGGAGGGGTGGGCAGGGAGAAAATTGCGGAAATGAATGAATGGAAATCCAAAACCCCTGTTAAAAAAAATATATATTAAAAAAAAAAAGTGTATGAATGAAAAATCAATTTACAATGAAAAAATAAAACTAGTCAATGCTAGTGTCTTTAAACACGAAGCATGGCTATGAATACTTGGGGTTCCACATGGAAAAAAAGTGGGTGCACACTGAGGGTATCCAGCCTTTGAACTTGGGCTGGGCAGCAAACAGGCCGGGGAAAGGAACTGGCTAAAAGAACTCTTTCTCACGGGAGAGACAGGTCCAAGCAGCAGGGGTGTGAAGGGACAAGAGGGAGGCCAGTAACATGGAGTAAGAGTGACCGTAACAGGGCTCCGGAATCACAGAGACGGTGGGCAAGGCATGGGACAGGCGAGCTTCCCACCTGCTGTCCACTGGGCTGCCAGGAGGTGTGGTCCACTTAGTGGCACCTAGCAACAATAATAAATCCAAAGAGAAGGGGGCTGGTGGTGTAGCGTACTGAATGCTACACTGTTAACCCAAAGGTTGGCAGATCAAATCCACAGTGACTCCACAAGAGAAGGCTGAGGCACTCTGTTCCCGTTAAGATTTTACAGACTTGGAAATCTGACAGAAGACCGACAGGAGTGGGTTTGGGTTAATGATAAAGAGGGAGAGGATGGGCACCTCCTCCCTAGGGCCCACTGGACCGTCAGCAACTGTCACTTCTGACTCAGTGGCACTGACTTTCACTTTTAGTTTCTTCACCCAAGATAAGATACTCAGTGTGTTAAGTAAACGTTCCCTGCAGCCACTCCCTACACACACACACACACACACATACACACACGACTAGGGTGACTAGTAGCAGTCAGCCCCCCCCCCCCACTGGCCAGGGCAGCCCTGCAGGACTAGATGCCACCGCCATGGCGTCGGCCCTGACTCACCGGGCCCTGCAGGACGGAGCAGGTCTGCCCCGCGGGGCGTCCAAGTCTGTGAAGCCCTACAGAGCAGATGACCTCATCTTTCTGCAGAGCAACTGGTGGCTTCAAACTGATGACCCTGCGCTTAGCAATCAGAGCTTGAAGCACTGTGCCACCAGGGATCCAAAACACCTCTAAAGGTTAGCAAAAAAGTCAGGGACTCAGAAAACAAGGTGCTTTAGAGAAATCAGGAAAACCCACAATTGCTGGTTTGAAGGCAACAGCTGATAGGAGATGAGGGAATCTGCTTCCACATAGATGATGACCTTGGCACCAGGGGTGGTTCTGCTCTGTCCCAGGGTCAGGGTCACTGGGGGGGGGGGGTGAAATGAACCACCAGCAGCAGCAGGAGGAGTCTAACTGCCTAGAGATTACACCTCAAAATGGAAATGATCCAGACCGCAGCCTGTTCACGCCAAAACGCCGGCGTTAGTTATCCCCACAGTAACACTGGTATTCACAACTTCAGCACTAACCCTGTCGACAATCCACGCTGGGAAGGTTTCACACCACGTCTGCGCAAAGAGGCAGGAGGTGGTGACTGCCACAGGATCTTCCTAGAAGTCCCCCTCCAGAGATTCCTGCTTCAGATCTCAGCGTGGCACACAGACAGCCAGAGGCCAAGAATTCCTGGTCCCTGCACACCTGCCCCCCAGGAAGGCCAACCCAAATCAGACCTGAGTCAATTCCACGTCATAGTGGCCCTGCAGGACACAGCAGAGCCGGCCCCCGGCTCTCCGAGGCTTGAACTCTTCCGGAAGCAGCCAGCTCTGTCCCCATTCGCTGCTGGTAGGTTCCAACTGCAGACCTGTCGTTGGCGGCCAAGCATTTAACCACTCTACCTCCAGGGCTCCCAGATGCACAATGTTCTTTACAAAGGTTTTCACTTCCAAGTCTGTGATTTTTAATCTTTCTCAAAAGAAACTTATCCCTGCAATGTGTCATTCCTGTGACTTTTTCCCTTCCCTCGTGGGCGGCATGACATTAAATAAAAAGAACAGGAGTGAAAATTAAACTGTCTCCGAGCCAGCGTACAGGCCTTGAGACAAGGAAACCTAACACCCTAACATGACAAGGAGAGCTCTGGTGGCCTACTGGAAAGAAGCGACACGGCAATCCCAAAGGCACGAGTTCGAATCCACCAGCTGCTCCACAGAAGGACGGGCAAGCTCCTCCTGATTTACTGCCTGAGGGGCAGCCATGCGTCAGTTCCAACTCGAAAGCACACAACGGCAGAAGCGGCCAGGTGTCCGCCGCCTGGGCCCCTCACGCCCTGCCCAGCGTGCTCTGCAGACCCCCGCGCTGGCCTCCAGCCCCGAGGGGCCCCGAGCGGGCCTGCCCACGGCTGCTCACCTTGGAGGTTTTGGCGTAATACAGCGTCCGGCCGCGAAGCTTGAAGTAGCGCCTCTTGGACCGCTGGAATGAACTGTTCTGCTTGGCCAGCATCCCCTCCTTGATGATGGTCTGAAAGGACAGAGGCATGTTCACAGCGGGGTCTTCAGGCTCCCGCCCCGCAGAGAGCCCACCCTGCGCCTGCTGGACGCGCTCACCGCCCGGCCTCTGTGCGGACCGAGCGCGTCCACGCAGAAACCGCGAGCCTGGACGTGCCCAGGTCAGTGAGCAGGCGGGGGACCCACGGCAGCGTCCACTGTGAGGACAGCGCTGACCCGGCCAGTCCGTTCCCACCCTCGGCATTTGGTCTTTCTCAGCTATTCTTAGCGCCGTCTCCTTCGCTGGCCTCCTGCCATTTCTCAGAGTCCTGCTGCCAGAACCATCTGTGCGCAGGGCCCCAGGCCGGCCGCTCGGAGGCCCCTCCAGTCACACACGCCATGCGTATCTGTCTAACGGCCCTGAGCGGCTGCTTCCCTGGAACTGCGGATACACTTTACGTTAGACACACACACAGTTCAGGCCCTTGACTCCAGGCACAGATGTGCCTACACATGGTCAGGACTGTGGGGCTCGCGGGGTCAGCCCTGACCTGGGGTCACACGTCACTGCGTGCATGTGGACCTCCAGAGAGAAAGGAGCACCAGACACCTATCAGAGCCGCAGGCCCACATCCATGCACAAGTTCATCACCAAGGGACCACAAGACACTGGACGCTGTGAGCCATGAGGGCCGCCAACACCATCAGGAGAATGGAGCTGCTCTCAAGTCCCTGCCCCCCCGATGGAAATGTCCACTTTACCCAGCCTCTCGCCACAGAAATGGGGCCGAACTTACAAAAAGTCTGCTCAAAGAATACGGACCCAGAGAAGCTTCAGTTTCATCATCTAATCCCACAGAGCTCTGCACGTTAAGTAACTTTTTCTAAAGTATCTGTACAAATACTTAGGCATCTGTGGCCACTTAAAAGGACATAAGAGAAAACCAAGACAAAGCTCACCCAGAACCACACTTCACCCAAATGCGTCAGAGCACGACTGCGGACGCCAAGGCATCCGGTCCCCCGACTGTCCTATCCCTGACAGATGAGGGGCCAACACAGGGTGGGCGATGACTGCACCGCCCGAGAATGTGGAAGAGAGCCCCCGAGAGCACGCACGCACGCGCGCGCACACACACCCCTGACAACAGAGACACACATCCCTCACAACTCACACAAACCTCTCCCATGTGTACAACACACACTCCTACATACACCCCCAAACACACATGCTGTCAGCACACACACACTGTTCACACAGACAACCTCCACCACACGTGTACAACACAGACACACAGTCCTTACAACATCTGTCTACTATCGCTGGGCTCTTTTAGCGAAGGAGTCCAAGTGCCTCACCGGACAAAAGTAATGAAGTCAGTTTCTGTGAAGATTTACAGACTTAGAAATTCTTTGGGGACAGCGTCTCCGTCTTACGGGTTTGCTAAGGAGTTTTTGTAGCATGGTGCTTTAGGTTTTGCGTTACTAATAAAAAGATCAGCTGTTCAAAAAAAAAAAACAACATCTGTCTACTATCAACACAGACACATTGCAACACACACACCCCAAACACACATACTGTCAGCACACACACATACACACACACTCCCCATAACTCACGTATGCTATAAGACACCCTTGAACACACACACCCCAGACACACATACTCTGTCAGAGCACACACACACCCATTACACATGTACACTATGAGCACAGACACACTTCAACACACACCATAAATACACAAGCCCTACAATACGGGTAACACAGAGCTATACCATAAACACACACAAATCAACATAGTTTATCAATACACATACCAGAAACAAACACATGCACACACTCTATAACACACACTGTGAGCACAAAGATACCACCAACACACACTCACACAGACACACATACATACACCCTGTCAATACCCAGACACAGCCCAGCAACACGGCACATTCTTTCAATACACACACACTCTTAACACATTCAACACAAAAATACCCTGTCAGCACACGGATGCACCAACGTAATGACACATATACACACATCATCAACATGCAGACACACTGACAGCACACACACACTCTCAGCATACACACATCTAGTGAATATATACGTCTATATACACACACACCGCCACACAGACACATTCTCATCGACATACAGTCATACCTCTTCAATGCACAGATAATCACACTAATACACACAGGCGTCTCTGTCAATACACACTCACCAACACATACCCACATCCTGCCAGTGCAGAGACACACCAAGTCAACACAGAAGCACCTATCAACACATACACGTACTATCAATACATGTGCCAAGAGCATACAAACTGTATACACACCCCAACAGCACACATACAAGCCAACAGCACTTATACACTCAGACAACATACCAGCGTCCAGCCACCATGAACAGCACATTCCCCACACAGAGGCTCAAGGCTGTGTCCCTGGAAACCAAGCCACCTACCCGCTTCTCCCTCTGTCCATCCGATGACCCCCTGGGGAGCTTCCTGGGCAGGGTGAGTTCCACAGGTCATCATCCCCAGACCACTTGTGAGATAACCAACTGCTGTCTGAGGCTCCAACTTTGAGGGGCCTGTGGCTTCTAGTGCTGGCCTAGGGGCACAGAACAGCCCTGCCAACTCCCCAACAGGTCAGGGCAAGGAAAGCCACGACTGGACATTGTCCTTACGTAGCCGTGATAGCCACCAGGCCGAGGGAGAGGAACCCCAAGGCAGAAGAGACGCGTATCACAATCACAGCAGACAAAGTGGAGCCCACGAGCTAGACCAAGGCTCAAAACACGACGAGCTGGGACAGAACTGCTGACCCAAGAAGCACAACAGCAAAGCCTCTAAGTACCGATACAAGCCAGCCTGCAGCATGGACGGGCCCTGGGAATCTGCTCCTATTCTCTTCCTCTACCCGAAGCCCGCATGCCACTGATTCCAACAGGCTCTTCCAAGGCACGAAGGCCAAAACCCCCCAGGAGCCCACACGGGCATCAGAGGCCACGCGTCTGGACGTCGCCGGCCCCAGACCACTCCCCTGCCCCTGCCCGGCCCCGTCTCCCTCACCTCTGTGGCGGAGCACATCGCTTCCTCCCTCTGCTAAATTCAAGTTATTAGGAAATTTTTTAAAAATTAAAAAGATTTTCAAATAGACAATAAAACCCACAAGCTGAGAATAAAAAGCTCTGTTCTACTCCTTGCTGCTGTCAGAACTGACTCACAGCTGACCCTGCAGCGGGTTTCACGGCCAGTACATCGCACGGGAGGAGATCGCCCATCCTTCTCCCGAAGCAGCTGGTGGAGTCAAACTACGTGCCTCTGGGTTGGCAGCACAGTCACTAGGCCACCAGGGCTTCCTCCTGCACGACGTTCTAGCATTTTTAAGGACAATCCTCTTGTGTCTCTACCACACAAGTCACACATAAAAAGAGTAGTGAGAACAACACACACACACACACACAGACTCACTCTCTCTCTCAAAGCGGAGGAGCCTGTGGTGGAGCTGCCTGAGTTTCTATTTATAGAAACGGACTGGTGGGTTCTGGCGGAAGAAGCTGAAAGAGATAAAAACCAGCACCTCCTGGCCCTGTTCTCAGAAAAAACACCTCCTCCTGACTGGCTGGGTGTGGACACTGTGAACCCGCTGCCCAGAGCTGTGAGCCACGCTGCCAGGAGTTCAAGGCTGCCAAGGGAACAGCCTCAATGCTCACTGTTTCAGCACCCAGGACACTGGGCCGCTCGTGGGCCCCAGGCAGACGGGATACGGGGTGCCCACAGGCTCACAGGCAGATGGGATACAGGGTACCCACAG